CACACACACACACACACACACACGCACACACACACACACGCACGCACACACACACATACACATGCTGAAGTCAACCTCACGCTTAAGCCTGCACGTGGCTACCTCTCGGAGAAGGAATATCATTAATCACTAAAACGTATGTCTGTGGCCATGAATGAAGTCGAGGACGAAATATTTGGGGATGATTTTTTCCCCTTTTTTAAAAGTGAACCATTTCAGAATACTTACATCTTTTTTAATTCCTCACATAATATTTACATTAACTTTAATTCCTCACTACAAAGATTAATATTCCTAATATCGGAACTTGTCCATCGTTTCGCTTGGTTTTGGTCCGAGCATGTCATTTTTACCAGTATATATGTATATGGAATACTTAGGTATGAAATTTATAACAAAAAGATATGAATATGAAAAATGAATGTATATATATATATATAATACAATATAATATAATATTATTATATTATGAATAAAATTAAAAATTTATAATTAATATTTCCCTACTCAAAAGGAATTAATGCAATTAGCGGAAATTAACACGTTATGCCAACGGAAACCCAGATCCGCCAAGCTCCTCTATAGACCAATGTCCTCTAGACTCCCTCCGTGTATCTCGTGGACAGTCAACCGACATTGTGGGCCCAGCCACATAACGACGTGCGGCGTCAGTCTACGCGTCCTCCTCTACTTCCTCATCATTCTAGTCCCTCTCCTTCTCCTCCTTCTCCTTTTCCTCGTCCTTTCTTTTCTTCTCCCTCCTCATTTATCCTCCCCCCTCTTCCTCCCCCTCCTTCTTCTTTTCTTTTCCTCCCCCTCCTTCTTCCTTCCTTTTCCTCCCCCTCCTTCCTTCCCCTTCCTCCCTCTATTTCTGTTTCCTCCTGTTCTTGCTTCTTATTCTCCTATGCTTCCTCCTCGTTCCTCTTTCCCCTCTCTTTTTATTTTTCCTCCTACCTTTCGTCTTCCGCCTCCTCCCTCCTTCCTCTCGTCCTTCGCCTCCTTACTCCTCCTCTTCCCCCTCCTCTTCCTTCCCTTTCTCCTGCTCCTCCTCCTCCCCCTCCTCCTCCTCCTCCCCTCCTCCTCCTCCCTCTTCCTTCTCCTTTTCCTCACTTACACGAGCCCTCCCACCACTTGCCGAAGTTCGGGAAGGTTCTCCGTCTGACGGGAGACTCGTGTAGCGCCTTACAGAACTCGCACCAGGCGCGCGTGTACGAGCCGGCTATCGGTACATAGCGCTCCCTCCACGCGAACAACTCGCTATAGAGAGTATCGTTGGCGTCGGCGCGCTTCATGTACGCCCCCAACGCGCCGACGCTCTCAAAGCTGTCGGCGTGCACGTACGAGCCGGGAATGACGACGGCGGCGTAGTCGTCGGCGGGCGGGCCGACGACGATGGGCACCATTTGCAGGTCGTCGCCGATGGAGCGCCAGTATTTCTCCGTCACGTAGTCGGCGCAGCGCGAGTTCTCTGCGGCGATGTAGAACTTGTACGGTCGCAGCAGGTCTCGCATGCAGGCGCCGGCGCCGCGCGCCTCCGTGCAAACCTTCCCCTTGCCGCACCGTCCGTAGACGTCGACGGGGACGACCTCCGCTAGGCGGCGCACGAATCGCAGTCGTTCCTCGGCGCAATTACTGATGATCGCGACGGCGAGTTTCGTCTTGCCGCGCGCGTAGTTCGGTCGGACGCCGCTGCGGGGCGCTGTCGTCGCGCGGTAGCTGCGGTAGGGTAGCCAGAAGTCCGAGTCGCGGCGGTAAGTCATCGTCCAGTTGAAGAAGTCCGGGTAGCGCTCGCCGCGAAACCCCGTGTGGTGCGTCACGGGCGGCGGCTCGAGCGAGTAGAAAAGCCACGGCTGCGACGGTCGGTGTACGGCCGGTAGGTTGTGCTCCTCGGCGCGCATCGTGAACGGGAAGAAGACGACGGCGTCGGCTGTCGCCAGCGCCGTCTTGTTGTGCGTGATGACGCAGCGCGCGTCGGCGCCGCACGATCCGAGCAGGTTCGCCACGCCCGTCCACGGCTGCGAGCGATAGTAGAGCGTCCAGAAAAGAATCGTCTTTATTTCCTTCGTCGTCGCTTTCGTCGGCTGTTTCGTCGGCTGTTTCGTCGGCTGTTTCGTCGGCTGTTTCGTCGTCGCTTTCGTTGGCTGTGTCGTCGGCTGTTTCGTCGGCTGTTTCGTCGTCGCTTTCGTCTGCTGTTTCGTGCTCGCGCGTGCTTTTGTGCTCGCGTGTGCGATCGCGGCCACTGGTTTGTTCTGGTCACTTCGGTCGGTGTTTGTGCTTGCGCGTGCTGTAGTCCTCACGGGAGAGGGAAGCTTTGCGTTCAGTGTTGCCGACGTTGTCCTGGCAGCCGTAGAAGCGACATCCTTGCACGTTCCACCGCCGCAGTCCGCTTCGGCAGGAACAACACCAGCGTTGTTCATGCGTTGTTCAGCGATCGCGGTGCGTTCACCGAACAGCATCCTCCTCGCCTTCAGGTCGGCATTGGCGATAAGGTTGGCGGAGAACGCGAAGCTGTCACCAGGCGGCGCCACGAGCATTGTGAAGAGAAGCAGCAGCGCGGCGACGAGAACGATGATGATGAAGGAGCGCCGATACGACATGACTCTCACACACCCTCTCTATCTGTATCTGTCTTTCTCTCTCTCTCTCTCTCTCTCTCTCTCTCTCTCTCTCTCTCTCTCTCTGCCTGTCTGTCTCTCTCTCTCTCTCTCTCTCTCTCTCTCTCTTTCTCTCTATCCTTTCTCTCTCTCTCTTTCTCTCTACCTCTCTTTCTCTC